TGCGGGAAAAACTACTGAAACTCATTTAACCTTGGCTAGCTTAGCCAACCAAGAAAAAGAACTAAAAAAGTTAATTCGAGAAAGAATAAATAATCAGCAAACTATTACTAAACTCCAAAACCAACTAAAAGCCCAAGAAACGGAATTAGAACAGTTAAACCAGTCCAAAACCCAAGAACTAACCAATTTTAAGCAAAAAGTAAAAGCCAAGTTAGTTCTTATTAAAGAGAGTAATCAGAGGATTAGGGAAATAATGGCTGAGAAGACTGAATAAAAAAAATTAATCAATATGATTATCACTTGAAAAAGCAAAAAAGAAAAAGCCTTTTACCGAGATTGAGAAGATATTAAAGAATGAAGAAGTTATCGCAAAGAATTAAGAAGAAGTTTGCGGGACTTAGATTCCGCCACTTCCTTAAAAGATTTATTTGCTATTCCTGGTAATCGGCTTCGGAAATTAGAAGGAAAATGAAAAGATTATTACCGAATTTGAGTTAATAAGCAATATCGCATTATCTTCCAGTGAGGTAAAGATAATAACGCTTACAAAGTAGAAATCAGCAAACATTACGAATAAAATTAAAATATTATGGTAAAGAAAATTGAACCTATTCATCCCGGAGAAATGTTAAGAGAAGAATTTCTTATTCCGGCTAAACTTACTCCTAAGAAATTAGCCCAAGGGATTAATATTCCCGTCGAAGAAATGGAAGATATTTTGGAAGAAAAAAAAGACCTATCGACTGACATAGCTTGCCGTTTAGCTCTTTATTTTGGTATGTCTTTTGACTTTTGACTAAATTTACAAAAAGCCTATGAGTTGGATTGTTGACAACAAAGATGAGCCGAACGAGCTAAAGAAGAAGTTCATCCTTTACCTCACGCCAAAGAAAGTAACACTGGATTAAGAAAACACCTTTAATTTTCCTTACTTCTTCCCTTGCCTAGTTTTTGCCTTGTAAAAGACCTTCCCCATTTTAGCCTTGTATAAGAAACTCTATTACTAACAAAAATGACTAACGAACAAGACAAAGACCAAAAATTAAGTAACTACGCTCGTAAACTGGGTGATGCTGCTTGAAATACTGCTAAAAAAGCCGGTAAAATTGCGGCTGATGCGGCTTTAGATCCTGATGTTTACAATAAAATCTATAAAGGTTTAAAAGAAGGTGCCAAAGAAGGAGCTAAATTTGCTCTGAAGACTGGGGTAAAACTAATGGCCGAACCCAAAAAAGTTTTACATACTGCCCTCGGATTAGCCGAAAGAGCTGTTAGTTCGATACCCTTAATCGGAAATGCCCTTAGTTTCGGACTAGGAACCGCCAAAGATGCTTTATTAGATGCTAAATTAGAAACTCTTAGTAAAAATATTCAAGGATTAAAAGAAGGTTTAGAAAATTTGGCCAATTCCACTGCCCAAGCCTTAGAAGGTTTACGGGGTGAAATGACCGAAGCTTTGGGAGAAATGGGAGCCAGACAAGATGAATTGGAGCAATTCACCAAGGCTTTTCAAGCCGAACAAGAAAAAGTTAACCAGCAAGTTCAAAAAAATATTGAAAACATCCAGGAAACTCTCAAAGAACACGAAAAGAAAATCAAAGACAATAGCGAAAAAACATTTAAACAAGCAATTAAATTAGAAGACCTTCGTGGTGAATTAAAAGACCAAATTCGGGTTACTAATACTAATTTAGATAATTTACGCAAAGAACAAAACGAAACCAAGCAAGATTTCGAAAAATATAAACATCAAATCAACGAAAAAACATCTAAAACCGAACAGGCTTTTGAAGATTTACAAGCGGATTACACTCACCATAATAAAATTATCGAAACCCAAATTAAAGATAATGAGGAACAATTAAGTGAATTTCAAGAAAACTTGGCTAATGTCAAATACGAACAAAAGAAACTTAACTTAGAACACCAAGAATTGGCCGAAACCTTAGAAGAACAGGTTAATTTAGCCCGTGAACAAATAAATAGATTAGATTTTGTGGTGAATGAAATCGAAGAAATAGAAGAAGAATTTAACCAAAGAATCAGTAAAATCCAACGGGAACAATTAGAACAGGAAGAAAAAGTGGAAGAGGCCGTCTTTGCTGCCAAGCAAGCCACCCGTAAAGTGGACGAAATAGCCGATAAGTTAGAAAAACATAATAAAAAAATTGATAAATTAGAAGAAAAAATAAAAGAAAATAAAAAAGCTACCGAAGAAGCCGAAAAAGAAGCTCAATTAGCCAATGAAAGAATTGATAATCTCTTAAAAACCCAGAAACTTCTAGATAACACTGATGTGGAGGCTAATTTAGATAAAATTCAAAAAACCTTACAATTAAAAACCGAAGAAGCCCAATTATTAGCCAGTTTAGAATTGTTAAAAAAAACCCAAAAATTAATTACCCAACCCAGTGAAAGAGAATGGAGAGTCGGAATTAAAGAAGGCACGGAAAAAGAAATATCCCGACCGGAAGGAATGCCCTTAAATCCTAATTCTAGTTGAGCCAAGCAATACACTCCGGAACAGTTAAGAGAATGAGGTTGAGATACCAGAATTAAAGGTGAGCATGAAACAGCTCCGCTCACTGAGGAAGACAAAAGAAAACCGGAAGAAGCAGCCCCTAGTCAACCGCAGCAGCAGCAGGAACAAACTGAACAATCATCAGAACAGCAAAAAAATCTCCAAGAAATAATCGAAGAAACTAAGAGCCAATTACTGGAACAACTGCAAGAAATTCAAAAACAAATCAACGATAATATTTCACCTTTAGAAGAAAAAACCCAAGCTCCTCGCGAAGATAGTGAGAGTGAAAGTGAAGAAGAGGAAGTAAAAGAGTTAGAACAAAAAGAAAAGCAACTAATCAGTGAAAAAACTCAAGCCCAAACAAAACTTATTCAATCCCGCAATAAACAGCAAGCCACTCAGCAGCAAAAAGCCCAAACAAAGGCTGAAATCACTAAAGAGCAAAAACAAATCCAAAAAATAGAACAAAGCCTTGGTCAAAAATCTACTACTCCCCAACAAAAACAGAAACTCCAAGAAAACAAAGAGAAAAGGGAGGAAAAACTAACCCAATTGCAAAAGCAGTTAGAGAAAACTGAGCGAGCTGAAAAAAAACTAGAAAAACAAGTCGAGAAAGAGGAAAAAGAGGTTCAAGCCAAAGAGCAGGAAATTAAGAAAGTCCAACAACAACCACCTTCTTCTATCCTGGCTAAGAAACTAAACCAGGAAATTAAAGATGCGGAACAACAAGCCCAGCAAGCCAAACATGAATATGTTGAGCAAAAATGACAAGAAGTTAAAAAAACCGAAGAACAAATACTAAATGACAGCCCTGAAACCCCAACTTTAAAAAAGATTGAAGAGAAAATCCAAGAAATTAAAGAATCGCAATCCTCGACCGCTGCTCCTCAGAAGTCAATGAGCCTTTACATGCTCTATTTGATTATCTTCTTGTTGGAGTATGTAGTTTATAAGAAAAACGGCTTAATGGGTCTGGTGGTCTTAAATGTCATACTGGCCATTCTTTACTATAACAAGGATACCATTATGGAGTATCAAAAACTTTGAGACAAATATTTCCTCATAATCGGTTATATTGCTGGTAATGTGCTGGCTTACTCGGCTCCCGAACAAGAAAAATATAAATGACCTTGTGTGGCTGGCTATAATGCTATAATACTAAGCATTTATGGTTATACTTATTGGAAAAATAAAAAAGTAGTAGAAGCCAAAAAAGAAGAATTAATCGAAACTCAGGAAGAATTTGCCAAAGAAGTTGTTAAAAACGAAACCGAGTATATCGAAAGATTACAAGAAGCCTCGGAAAACTTAGAAAAAGTTAAAGCCAAAATAAAAACCTCCAAAACAGTAAACTTCTCAGTTTTAAGTCAAGGAATTGGCACTGCGAGCAATATTTGGTTTGCTAATCAAGCCGAAGTCGAACAAGCCCGCCAACTTTACCAAGAAATCAAGCAAAAATGAGGTAAAAAAGAAAGTGAAGATTACTTAACTTCCCCTTCCGCTCAGGAGTTCCTCCGTTTAGTGCAAGCCAGTGGAACCACCTTAAATCCCGAAGAACAGCAACTAGCTGAGAAAATCCAAACCAAGCAAAGGGAGAAAGATTATCAGGAGTTCTCCCAAGAAATTGCCAAAATACCGGCTTATCCTCCCGAAGTTAGAAAAACACTAAGTAAGTTATTGACTAATTTAAATGAAGAACAAATTATTGCCATTTCTTCCCAATCTCTTTATCTACGGAATAGTCCCGAATTAGAAAATATTTATTCTTATCTAACTCAAGAACAAAAACTAACTATTCTGAACTCAGGCTTAGATAATCTACAAATAAACACTACTGAGAAAAAGAAAGAATTATTAGATATCCGTATTTCTTTAAAACAAGAAGAAAAAAGTTTTGATTTATCTATCAGTGAAAAAGAAAATATTTTGCGACTGATTGCCAGTAAAATAAGTAGTGAACAATTAAAATCTTATGAAGCCTATGGAGTGCCGATTTATAATGCCGCTAGTTGACAAATAACTCCTGAACATAAAGAATCTTTGCTAAAATTGGCTGAGGACTTAATTACTATTGAGCAAAAAGAAGACTTGGTTAATGCTGGTCGGGATAATTTAGAAAATTTTCCTCTTTCTTCTAACCAAGAAAAAATTATTAAAACTCTGGCTCCCTTACAAAAAGAATATAATTACTCGGAGGATTTATTGAGGCAACTCCGTTTTTTACCTAGTCGTCAGTTTCTAGTTCAAAAAGAAATTATTCCTTTGGAGTATCGGAAAATCCAAGACAATTATAAAGAGTTAAAGAAAGAAGTTTTAGGAAAAAAATATAAACTAGCCCGCGAAGATATTAAGTACCAAGAAAAAGAAGCCAGCAAGAAAGAAAAACAAGAATTACGGAATTCTTTATTACCTTCACTGCTCTTTTTCGCCCAAATGAACTTAACTGATTTAGCCAGTCAAGAATATCGTTTATCCAAAGAAGTTTTTCAAGAAGAAAAAGATTGAGTATCAATTGGGGCAATCGACAGTCAACACCGCGATTTATTATTTTTATCAGGCTTTAAACTAACTCCTCGTTATTACTTTTTTGACTTGCTATTTTTTACTGTGGAGAATATTAGCCAGGGAAAAAGTCATCAAACTATTACTCTTAATTGGGACAAGTGAAAGAATATTAGCCTAGATTTCACCGAAGAATTAGTTAAAGAATGAATTAGTTATGGTTTTACTTACGAGCAAACTAAGGAATGGATAGATATTGGCTTAACTCCTCAGGAAGCCGAATATGCTACTTGGCTGAAAAATACCGAAAAACTGGATGCCGAACAAGTTTTAAATGCTGAAAACACCGAAGAGTTAAAGGAAAAATACCAGCAATATTTAACCAAAATAGAGCAAAGTATTGAGGAATACCAAACGCAAATCCTAACTATTTTGGATGCTTGAAAAGATAAGAGCCAAGGAGCCGAAAAAGAAGCAGTAAGAGGGATTATCAGAATATTGTCTAACGAAAGTCTACCTAAGGAAGAGCAATTTCGGGAATTAAAGGACTTTTTGAGCAAATATCCGAGTAATAGTATCAAACTTAATAACTTAGTTAGTGCCTGAAATAAGATAATTAGTAAAGGAACTATTAAGCAAGAGTATTATTCTCTAACTACCCCTACTTTTTCCGACTTTTTAGCCGAACATGCTTATTTAAAACCCGAATGAGAAAAATATTTGCAATTAGTTGCCGAAAGAGAACTAAAAGAATGGAAAAGAAAACAGGAATATTTATCTTCTCTTTCAGGAAAAGGTTCAGGAACTATTGCCACGGCTCCTAACATTACTTCCTTAGAAGAAAAATACGAAAGATTAGCCGATGCTTACGAAAATATGAGAAATCTAATAGAGAGAGGTGGCGGATTAGCCAGTAGTCCAGAAAACATTTCACCAGAAAAACAACCAACCCCTACTGCTTCTGACTCGCGGTGGGATAAACTTGCGGCTAATTTAAGTGCCGAGGAAGCGGAAAGGCTTAAAAAGAAAAAGGCTCGGGAAGAAGCCAAAAAGAAATTGGATGAGGCTGAATTTGCTAGAAGACAGGCTAACTTAAGTGATAAAGATAAGAAATTAGCCGAGGAAGCTGAAAAAAGAGCTAAGGAAAAAGAATTAGCCGAGCAAGAAGCAGAAGCAGCCCGCAAGAGAAAAGAAGAAAGGGATAAAAATATTGCTGAGGATAGACAGACTGAATTAGATAATGATGCTAAGAGGATTCAAGAAGCCAAGGAAAGAGCTGAAGAAGAATTAAAGTTTGCTGAGGAACGAATTAGGAAAGAAAAAGAGAAAAAAGAACAGGAAATCGAAGAATTAAGGAAAAAGAACGAGCAAGAAGAAAAACGAATAGAGGACGAAAGAAAATTAGCCGAACAAGAATTAGCTAAGAAATTAGAGGAAGTCAATCTGGAAGATAAAGAAGGAAGACGAAAAATTAAAGAAAATTTTGAAAGAATACAAATAGAAAATAGGAAAGAAGTCGACAAAAAAAAGAGAGAAAACGAGAAAAAAATAAAAGAAACGGAAGCTAATATAATCAAAGAACAAGAACTTGCTGATGCTGAATTAAAAAATATTAGAGATGAGATAAAACTTCAAGAAGAACAAGGTCGCAAAGCTAAGGAAACAGCTAGGCTGAAAGAAGAAGAGTTAAAAAGTCAAAAGAATAGAGAAAATCAACTTAAAAAGTACCGAGCTGAATTATATGATGCGGTTCTAGATTATACTTTTACCAGTGAAGAGGGAGAAGTGGGAACAAGAAGTCCCAAAAAAGGTTTTGGTGATTTAAGAGTTTTTTTAGACGAGCATCCGAACATGGAATTTAACTTACACTTTGGCGACATATCAGACATTAATATAACTAATTCAACCTACCGAAAAGCTATCGAAATTTTCCGCAAAGTAGTAGGAAACAGATTTGTTACTAAGCAATTGCTAAGAGAATTGATTAATGCCAATGTTCAGAGCTTAGATTATATAAAGGGTTAATATTATTTACTCGGTCAAAACTGGCTCTTTTCAACTTAAAGGAAGCACTATATAACGAAGAATTAACCCATATATTACTCAGAAAAGGGGAAAGCCTAAAAATATAACAGTTCAAGCATTACTATAAACTTCATTAGCATAAGTGGCATAATCGACTTGGTTTTTTTGGTCTTCGGGAACACCCTGTTTGGCTAATCATTCCGCTAATTTCCCCCCTAATTCACCAAATCAATCTTCTCCTTCTTTTTTGGCCTTTCTTTTAGCAATCTCTTCATAAGTGAAATGAGAAGGGTCTTTACCAAATTTCTTGTTGGCTCAACTTTCTTCCATTTTTCTTTCCTTATATCAGGTAGTGTAATCAGAAGGTACTTGTTCTCGTTGTTCTTTGGTTTCAATCTTAGTAGTAGAGTAATTAGCAGTTTTAAGCACATTACCTATACCGCATTTGCTTAGTAAGCAAACGGTTATATAGGCTAATAATAATCCCGATAATCAGGAAATTATATTAATTCACAGTTTTCTTTTTCTTTTGGCTGATTTTCAGTTTTCGTATATTTGTAAGGTTTGTAGGTCGGTCATATTTATTTTTCTTTTCGATAATCAATGGCATTATCAGAATTCTCCTCAAACTGATGATAAAAAAACATTCAATTTAAGTGAGGATTAGTATATCAATCCTCTTTCTTTCCGGTAAGTAAGCCATATACTTTCAGTTCCAAAGGAGTATGGAACATTTTGCGATATTTAGC